ACACACACACAAACAAACAAACAAACAAACAAACAAACAAACAAACAAACAAACAAACAAACAAACAAACAAACAAACAAACAAACAAACAAACAAACGTACCTATTAACACACAGGGGCTATATCGGCAACCAGCGGGAGCAGCAGCAGCAGCCAGTGGCAGGCAGAGCTCTGCGTGACCACTCCATCGACCGATCCCTGTGCCCGGTAGTACGGGAGGCGCCTTCGCGCGGAGGCTCGCGGTGGGCGCGGCAGCAACTCGGCCCCGGCGATCCGGCCGCGGGCGCAGGGTCAACGAGGGGGGCGCGGACAGCACTCGCAGCCTGGTCGGCGACGTGGCTGACCACGAGGAAAGTACGCTGTCCAACCAAACCGAAATACGGCGATTCATTCATTCATTCATTCATTCATTCATTCATTCATTCATTCATTCATTCATTCATTCATTCATTCATTCATTCATTCATTCATTCATTCGTTCGTTCATTCATTCATTCATTCGTGTTCATAATGTATTGTAATGTCATTGATCTGCGGGTACGTTTTTGGTTGATAACTGGAACCTACTTTTTTGCATCTGTGTGTAAGAAGTACTTTTAAAAAAATGAAATATTTGCAATTATGTAAATTGGTAACTTTTGGGCCTCATTTATTGGGTGACTGTGGGTGATCCGCGCCGTCCTTTTTTAATGCTTATACTACCGGATTCACGCGTGCCGGCGGGCTTGCCTACCGTCGCTCGCCTGGGCGCCTAATGGCGCCGTGTGAGTATGCAACCCGCCCGCGCGCTTGAATCCGGTACAGTATAAGCATTTAAAAAGGACGGCGCGGGTCACCCACCATGTATGTATCGCTTGTCTTTATATTTGCTCTGATTTGCAGCGGGGAGTATAGGGAAGGGGACTGGGCTGTGCCGCGGAGTATCGCCACTTTGAGCAAGATTCTCTTCTCTCATGGAGTACTGACAATGTCTGGGGAGTTAATACATTCCGTTGTCCTGCATATTCTGTAGAACTAACTAATAAAAACAATACTGTGTATATTTTTACAGCTTTAAAATTGCCTGTAACCTCTTATTTTCTGTAGGTAAATAGCAAATAACTTTGTGCAGTGAACAGAAGTGGCGAAAATTCCTTATATTCGATTTATTGTAACTTATGCGTTAAAGTCGTACAACAGTATAAAAAAAAAATTAATGTAGCCTAAAACGATAAATAACTTAGTTCTGCCTTAACCCTAAATTGTCATAATTAAATCGAAAAAGTGAAAGAATATCAAATAAATGAAGCATGAAGAATATCACGATTTGTATGCCTGCAATAATACATGATCTACACACGAAACCAGCGCCGGCAAGAGCTCCGAGCTGGTTAATGGCATTAAGTATAGTAAACCAGACAACTCAATAATACTAGCCGGAGTTTTAACTACACAACCAAATAAAAAGAAAGAGATTCAGGCCCGAAAAAAATAAACCGACTACTTTTCTTCCTCCCTTTGACTTTTACGGCCATACACAAAACGGACGGATAACCCACCTTGCCTTGGTGCAACATAAATAATCTATAAATTATGAAAATCAATGATCACATAAATGAATATACATACACTCAAATGATTAGGAATCTTTATCACACGGCACGAGTCCCATTAATCATTAAGGTCGAGAATGTAACGCGTTACTGAAATTTTATTTTTTTATTGCATGGAAATATCGAAAAAGCTAAAATACAGAAATAACCGGAGAAAAAAGTGACTTTAAAAAAATTATCCTCGACATAAATTTGATGCAATATCGATCTGATAATGGGATTGCAAATAAAATAGGAACTGTGCCGAAAGGTAATAATGTTAGCATTCTATATCACGACGAGAGAGAACCTCCCACAAAGTCTAATCATGCCATCACAGTTAAAAAATCCAAATATAAAACAAATTGGATTAACACAGACGTCTGCACATGTGCAAACACTAAAGTCTCAAAGTCAATACAAATACGATAAAATGACTAATCACATCACGACACGTCTTAATGTCACTAACAATAAAGACATATTTCACAAGCGTAATTTGCACGAATATTTTACGTACGTCACGACTTTGAACTGAACATAGCTGCTGACCCAATTTCCAAAAATATATTAGGTAGTTTTGAAAATAAATAACCAAGAGTCGAAATTTTGCAATTTTTGCAGCTTGTTGCGTTTTTTCTATCGCAAGCTGAGATCATTCGAATAAAATAAAGAACGCTCTCGTTCTCAATGCGAACCGAGCGAGTTGGACTGGGGCCGTGATGGGATGGTGACGGGCGTACGGAACTGCAGCTGCTGCAGTGGAGACGTAAGGACGCCAACCTGGATCATGTTGGAAGGGTTTTCCGAGGGCAGGTTGATCTGCAACAAAAACACCTCGCCGTCAGTACCACTACCCCCGCCTCGATTTTCCACTCGAATGCGCCGGGGACTATAAATACCTTGCTGCTACCCTTAGCGCCCACCACAGTCGGCTGGGGTGGCGCCTTCTGCTCTTTGCGCTGGGGTGGTTCCGCCTCCGCCTCGACCACAGCCGGCCTGATGTGGTTTCCTGTCTCCGGGCGGGGATCACTGCGGGCCAGGGGAGAGTCGGGTTAGTGAACAGAACACATGGTTAAGCAGCTTTTGCACTGGGCGGCGGCGGGCCGCGCGCTCACCTCTCTTCCTCGGCGGTGGCCTCGTGCGACTCGCTGGTGGACTGCGAGGCGACCAGGGGCGTCTTGCGCGGCTGGCAGTAGTGCTCCAGGTCCGAGAGCGTGCAGCCCACATGGCAGCACTCGGCGACTAGCCCTCGGTGCCCGTGCCTCGACGCGGACGAACCTGCACGATACGGGAAGTGAGCTGCCAGGTCGAATAAGAGTTGCCACGCCGGCGACGACAGTCTGCTGCTCTGCGCTTACCGGCCATGTTGTCGGGGCTGTTGTAGCCTCTGCCGGCGCACAGGGCGCTCAGGGCGTTGCTCAGCTCGGCGCCGCACAGCTGGCGCGCGTGGTGAGGGTGCGGGTGGTGCCGGTGATGCTGGCGGTGCGGGTGGCGCGCGCTCAGCTCGTTGCCCAGGCCGTGCTGGTCGTGCTGCTGCTGCTGCTCCCCGGACCGCGGGGCGTGCGGCCGGGACAGAGCCCCGTCCAGGAGGGCCAGCGCCAACAGAGCGCCCAGGACCACGCGCAGCAGGCTCGGCGTCATCGTCACCTGCGGGCCGAACAATGGCGTCGAGATCACTCCCGCACACCGTGCTTCGCCTTCGCCCCGCCCGGCGCATGGAAGATCACCGGCGCTGCGCGGAGCCCGACCTCATTCGGGACCTGCGCGAGGTTGTGCATGTTCGAGAATGTGTCTGTTGATCTGGCCTTTCAAACTCGGAGGGAAAAATTTTCCATGGTGCGTAAGACGCGACCCAACCCGTCCCTCCGTCCATCTCGTCCGTCTACTCGGCTGAACGCCCGGGCCGGGCAAGCCCAAGCCGGGGGCGGGGCGGGGCAGGGACCCTGGTGGCCGCCGCCACCGCAGCGCACGCGCCGGGGACCGCTTTCCGTTCGAGTCGGCTCCATCTCCCGCGGGGCCCGCCCAGCACATGGCAGGAGCCGGTACGTTTCCGACCACAACAGCGACGTTAAAAGGAGTAAACAGAGAGGCGCCGCGCGCCTGCTGCTGGCCTGCCCCACTTCGTGATTGATTTTTATTATTTTCGTATCCGGGTCGGTGAAATCAAAAGTTATAGTTTTATTTCGCCTGCTCTTGAGATGCGTACCGGATCTGGACGGCTTGGATAGATAACACCGCGCGAAAAGTAGCGTAGAGACGTGCTGCGTGAAATCGGGAGGTGAAAAAAAAACGGGGGCTCCGACGTCGGAGATAAGGGGGAAGGGGACCGAAGGGGACGCAATTTAGTGGTGCGCACAAGGAAACGTCGGGCCCTTGCTATGCGACACCGATAAGACGTGATTTCTTTTATTGTTTAAAAAAGTGGTAGCGATTAGGAATAGAAAATTAGTGACTCTCTCACGCACTGTGAGGACTGAGGCCAAAGGGCATTTTGTGTTTTGTTTGTCATGGGAATTGCATACCTATTTGTTGTAAGTGACGGTTAAAAGTGGACCTTCGGGGCGATAAAAAAGGAAATTGAATTTCATTCCACAAACTGATTATTTTATATCTTCATCAAAGCTTAAATTGAGATCGAATTTTGACATGAAAACTCACTACCAGGTGGTTGATTCACGCCGCGCACTTCTGTAGGTATACTGTACATACCGCACGCACGAGTGCGGGCGGGCTTGCCTATCGCCCCTGTCCACGGCGCCTTACGAGCCGAGCGAGTAGGCAACACGCCCGCACTCGTGCATGCGGTACAGCAAAACTATAGAAGTGCGCGGCGTGAATCAACCACCTGGTATTTACTCAGAAAGTCATTTTCCGTTTTTGACTGCATACATTTAGGCAGATAGGGAGTCTCCTAGATCCAAGGCGCCGTGGCAAACCACCAACACAGCTGTGTCGTAGACCTGAGACGGTATTGCAGCCACGTCAATTCTACTCGATCCTGAAATTACGTTTGCCCTGCGCGGAAATTTACTAGCGCCCTGATCCTGATGGTGAAGCAGGTGCCAGTGCCAAGTCCAAGGCTGGACAACATCGGCATCCCATCCCCCCTCCTTTTAGTCTCAAGATCCAGAGGGGACATAGACCACAAATCAAATCTTTTTGTAGATATACTATTTAATAAAAAAAAAAATCTCTGCTGGTATGGTCACCAAGTCGGAGCGCGGTTTTCGCGCCAAGTTATCACGCAACACACACACAAGCAGAAAAGACAACTCGGCCACGAATCAGCCAACAGAACACAGGCGGGCCTAAATAAGTATTGGCGAAACAGCGAAAATAAGCAACCGATTGCAATTTGGTTGAATGATATCTCTCACTGTTGGCGGGGCGACGGCGGCGACGTGTCCGCGGGCCTCGCCTTTATCCGGACCACCGCCGGGCGATGCGGCGGGGCGGGGGGAGGGGGCCTGCCAGACAGCTCCGGGAACTAAAATAGCCGAACTAATGAAAGACTCGCCGGTCTAAGATTCTAAGATTAAACTGCCGCGCACACACACAGCGTAAATATAACGACCGAGCCGGCGGATTTGGGTCAAGTCTGCATGCATGACCTAGAGAGAAAAATTCCGACGATGCTGGCTATTCTGCGACGACCGTTTTAACCACCCCGCGAACGCAGATTAACGCTACCTGCACTGAAAGTATGGCTACGCTGCGTGAAGCGGACGCCTGGGTACACGAAGCGAGGGGTCGGGAGCAGGTGCAGGAACAGCTCATAGTCACCTTCGCGGCCGTACGAAGCAGCACACGTGCGATCCCCGAGCGCGTTGGCGCGCGCCGGCCAGGCTAGGCCCCCGTGCACTTGCACCCACCAGCACCCCCTTGCGCGGCTCAACAACAGTCACAACACAGCACTCGCACACGCCTCCACCTCCACCACCAAACAGCACTCACTTGGCGCGCGTCGTCTGCTCTGGGCCACGGTCGGCGGACCTCTCAGCGAGCCGCTGTCCGCTCGGGAGGGACCCGTGTCCTCCGGGCGGCTACAGCGCGGGGCGCGGGGCGTGGCGGGGAGGG